CAGTCCCCCACCCCTCCCCCTGACCCCAACACTCCCCAGCCTGGAGCTCCCTCCTCGAACCAGCATCCCCTTCTCCACTTCCTCCTGCATTCAAATGTCTTCCCAGAGCTTGCACCTCTCACCCCTTCCCACACCCAAATCCCTCATTCCCCCCAGAGCCCACACATCCTGTCTCAACCCAATGAGGGTATGGCTAAACTGCAGGAGTTTTTCAGGATTCCAGAGATATCCCAGAAAAACTCTTCTGCATCCAGGGTTGCGTTTGTTCTTCCGCTTTTTTAGTGGAAGAGCAAACAGGCTCTTTGGGTCACCCCTATATTCCTCTTTCCACAAGGAGTAAGTTGGCTTCCAAAAGAAGGGTTTTTTTTCTGACATTTGGTCCAGTCTAGACAGGCCAAATGTTGGAAAAACCTCTTCCTACAGATTTGGGATAGCAAGTGATGGGGAGGAGGAGAATAGAGAGGGCATGGCTTCAGGGAAGGGGCGGGGCGGTAGATCTCGGCTTGGTCTGTCATTTAAAAAGTGATCTTGGGTGTAAAAAGGTTGGAGACCGCAGCATTACAATAACGTTATATGATTATAAAAAATTAATATGATTTTTGTTTTTAAATATGTGCAATTAAACTAAATGTTGATCTCATGACCTTGTTTAGCATTTGTTTATTATTGTCCTTACTTATTTGTGGTCTACTTTTTCAGCTCCATATATTAGACTGTTATCAGGGGTTCCGCAAAATTCTTTGAGTTTAAAAGTGTTCTGTGGCCAAATAAAATTGGGAACTTAGTTAACCAATTAAATGGGATTTTACATACCTAATATAAGTGGGTATTTAGAAGCTTGCTTTTACAGGAAAAAGCCACACTTGAAGTTATTTTCCAGATTTTTTTTTTTTAAATAGTCTGCATCTTCCTCCTCCTCTCCTTTTTCATCTACTTGGTATGGTGAATCTGAGAACACTCAGGGAGCATATTCAAGATTACATAACCAGCAGCGGGATAGTGATTCAAAGAGACCGAAGCTTTCCTATACATCTACCTCTTCTGTGAGAAGTAATGGCTTAAATACAGTTTCAGGTAAGTAGTATTACTAGTGCTAAATATATGTATGAAATGTAGTCTTGAAAAGTAAGCATGTACTAAGTTGTAAATATCCACTGATAAATATTGAGGCTTTAAATACTTAGATATTCCAACTTCAGTATCCTTATCAGCAGGGCTCAACAAATAGATTACAACCCAGAAGAGCCAGCACAGAGCAATCTGTGCATGCGGAGAACGCAGAACCGCATGAAACTGCGCAGCTGGCAAGCAGGGCTCGCTGCCGCTTGGCGAGCCCTGCTTATCAGTGTCTAGGAAAATATTAACTCAGTGTTCTGAAGACACTGAGTTAGTGATTTATTTTAGTAGAAAACATTCCTATAATTTTACATTTTAAAAGGTGAAGAGCGTGGACTAAAAGTCCTAAAGAAGGAAGCCTGCAGCTATTTACTGATACAGTTTGGAATTAATATACAATAGGTACAGAAGAGCAGTAGGACATATGGGCAGCAAATTATTTGCTGTATCTTAGCTCCGCCTTCCACGTAGCGATGAGTACCCTAGTTGTCCAAAGTACTATGGGCAGAGGTAGAGCAGAATCATCTCTTTTTAGTTGGGGCTAAAGGTGGCCATCTATACACCAGGCAACAGAGCTTTCAAGCCATATTAGACTATATTGTGCTGATATGATTTTAGAGAGAAGGAATGCTTAACACTGGAGTTGAAGTTGTAAATATGCATCTAGAATGTATGTGTGTGGGGGTGGGCATAGAATTCAATATCCAGTTTAAGTATGAAGTAGGTGTAAGCCCAGCCAGCTTAGTCATGGGCCCCAGACCCCTCTGCTCAGCACCATAAATAAGTGGTTAGAGGTCCCCCGTTAGGCCTGGGCCCAGAGTACAGGATGGGGCAGGTGCCTAAAAGGCAGTCCCAACAGACTTTATGTAGTCCCAAGATTCTGGTGCAGGGTGGGACAGGCACACAAACAGCAGTTCATTAGTGCAGGTAGGCCCAGGCCCTGGTGTAGGGCTGGGTGATAAACAATTTAAAGGCTCAGCTCTGGCTGAAGGCTGGGTAAATACTTTACAAGGTCAGGCGGGGCACCGAACAACAGATAAGGGGTTTTATCCCCCTGGGGAAGCCTGCCCTCCAAGGTGAGAGATGGCAGGGGGTATGCAGGCCCACCTGCTCCATTTGGCCTTGGCCCAGGGCTCTAACAGTGGCAGCAAAGGCTGCCACTGGGTCAGCGGGGATCCTAGTGGCAACATGCCGACCAGGTTACTAGGTCAGTGAGGATCCTGACAGCAACACGCTGCCCATTTGACCTCCATCTCATGGGCCGACCCAGTGTCAGCTATCCCTGGGCTGCTTCCTAGTTTCCCCGGGGACCTACCTGGCCTCTGCTCCTCATGTGCCACTGGGGACAATGGCACTGGCAATGTCTCCATGGGCTCTGGGTCCGGATCAGTCAGGGGTCCAGATGGTGCAGGCCAGTCCTCAGGGTGTGTCAACAACTGTGGAGGCCCTGGCCAGTTTTGTGAGCCAGGCAGCAGCCCAGGAGGCCTAGCAGAAGCCCTAGTGGCTCAGGTTGGTTCTCCCTTCTCAGGCAGGGCAGCTGGGCCTTCCTCCTGGGGAGCTTGGGTGGAGCGGTTGGGCTGCGTTGGCTGCTGGGCTCCAATTGTGCTTGAAGCTCCTCCTTTTATACTTCCAATTCCATCTTTCTGCTTCCTGTGAGTGGGGCTGGGTTGCTCTGGCACTGCCCACCAGGGAATCTTAGGAAGTGTTTCCCCTTCTGGGTCAGTGAGAAGCCAAGCTTACTCACTGCAGTAGGCTAAAACTAAATTTGAGGGTTTTTTTTTTATTGAAGATGGAAGGTTTATGAAAATACCTGAAACCACCTTTAATGTGGTCTATAACCCTTTCCTCTCCGATTATGAATTATTGTATGCCACGCAGCATCCAGTTAGACACTAATAAGCTTACCCTCAACATTAGAATAGTACATGTATGCCACTGACTTCTCTATATTGACTCTGCTTTGAGAAGACTGCAGAACCAAGAGTTCTCTTCTTACTCTTCATATAAAATGGGTGAGACACACCAGCTTGCCTGGATCCAAGACTCAGGACTCCCTTCCCAGCATTGAGGAGCCCATGCTGGTGCTCCAGTTCCCCTGCCATCCACCGTGGGGCTGAAGCACACAAAAACCTACTAGCCTGGGCCCCCTTAAGTTCTGGTGTGTGAGGGGAATGTGGGGAGTGTCTTTCTCCTTCTCAGTCAAGGGCCATGTCAGTGAGGGGTGGGGTTTTTTCTGCATTTTTCACTTGTGCATGGCCCCTGACTGATTTTTTTCCTCTGCTGGTCAGTGGCCCCTAACCAAAAAATGGTTCCCACTACTGATATAAAAGCTTAAGTGAAATCAGTTTTATCCCATCTTCCCAATATATTTCCATCATATCAAACAGTCCTTTTAAAATCATGTATATTGTCTTTTGCTATTCTCACATTTCGGATTCCAGCAGCTATAGAAACATTAACCTTGTGCCTGCATGCAAGGTTATACAACTTACTCTGTGTAATCTAAGATGGAAGTGATTTAAGGTGGCTTCAGCCATAAGTGAGAAGCTATAGTATGGATTTTAAGACAAGCACAGAAATCATGGATCTGGTAAAACCACCAAGGCATCAGAAGTTTGTTGTCACCCTTGCCTTACGTAGGGTAGAATAATGGGGCAGAGATAAATTTACTTGGGGTACTTAGATTGTTTTGCCATACTTCACAATATTTTTGTGGGTCTGAGTAGGGCAGTTTATAAGCTTAACACTTTTTCTTAAAGTTAAACACAATTATACATTATTCTTATATACAGACCAGTATGTACAAACTTAGTCAAGTTAAACACTCTTCAAAATCTGAGAACACTGGCTATTTAACAAACTATTGGATTCTTCTACCTTCCTCTCTATCTCCACTTTGATAATACTACAGGAATCCTTAAGTGATTACAAATTCTGATCTTGCACATAGAAAGGTTTATTTTAATCTGGAATGTTGTCCACAGGACTGAGACTGTTGCTACAATGACTTGCTTTCAGATGAATGGGCTAGTGCCCTCATTTGAAAATTCCTCACTCATGATATCTATAAAATGGAACAGGGTCCCTTTCTATAGTATTTGTGCTTCTTTAGAGCGTATGTTTGTACTGGTGCTTCTGAATAATATTTGATGTATTTTCTGAAATAAAATTACTTTAGTAGTAGTTGCTAAATGTCTAAGGAATATTTTCCTTGGTCCTTGTATTTTGGATTTATCTGGTCCTCAGACTGAAATATGATAAACTGTATTTCATTTTAAACTAGTATAACTTCTAGTGTAACCACATATGTTTTTGCCAAATCTGAAATACTTATCTCCTGCTTAGATGCTGAAGCTGCTACCCCCCAAAAAATAAGTGTTTCAAGTTTAAAACAGTTGAAGCTTTTTTATGAATTGTTGTTAATAATAATAATAATAAAAAATGTTCATGGGTAGAGAATGTGGTGGTCTTGGAAAACAAGTTTTAAGAAGCCCCTTTAACATCAGTGCAATTATATTGTAATACACTAAAGCAGTGTGTCTCAAAGGGCACTCACTTCTTTTAGCGGCAAACAGCTAACCGTAGCCAATGGAGGAGGCTCTGTGGCTGCAGAGCTGTTAAGTAAACAAACTGGAATGGCTGCTAGCAGCTGTCTCAAAGTGGGCCCATGGCTCACTTTGAGAAACACTGCACTAAAGCACTTCAGATGTTTGAGTAAAACTAATATCGATATTTTTGTTATACTGAAATTTTCAAACTACTAGTAGGATTTATACAGAGTTCTCTTGGTTTTTAGATTCCTCATGGAGGTATAATCAAGTTCCTAGATCTTCGTCAATGGTACTCAGTTCTCTGGGAACTGAGATAGTGAGAGAGAGGAGAGAGCTAGAAAGGAGAACAGATCCATCTGTTAGTAGTCTTGTGGATTATAGTCACAGGAATGGTGACTTCACATCTTCAGCATGTATGTATTATGCAGCTGAAAGCTTGCAAATGTATAGGTTGTCTTTTTTACTTTTCAGTTATTCCTTTAATGTTTTGTCACATGTAAAATCTAACAAGTCTTACTTTAATTCTATATATAAAGCTGACTATATGTTGACTATAAAGCTTCTCTGCTCTCAACTTCAGCCTATTTCTCAATGACATTTGTTTAACCTCTCAAGTGTTTTGCAGTGGACGAAGAATAAGTATAAAGTAGGTTATTTGACTAATACAGGGGTTCTCAAATTTTGTGGTAACATGACACCCCCCACCCCCCAAGTTGCTTGCGACCCCCCCAGGAGATTTCTACCATGCATCTCTACAAGATTACAAGTGCAGAACTAAAATTACAAGTGAGTAGCTGTTGGCATGTAGATACAAGCAGCTTGAGGGACTTAGGTATACCAGCAGAGATCCATAAAACATTTACACAAACTCCTATGGCTTTGGAGTTCAAAGCAATGTCTGGACTGGAGCATTAACTAGTGATTATTTTAACAGAACCACATAATACTCATGAGAGACTTTTTCTGGCTTGTCTTGCATATGTTCTTACTAATCAAGGCCAAAACAGTGTAGAGAGCTATCTTACTTATTCAAGGAAAGGCTCCTCTCAGTTCTCCAGTGCTTTAATGGAGACTTAATGCGAAACTTTGCAGAGTTCCCATTCTCATGAACAGGGCTTGCCATTCACACTGTCCGGCGATCTGCGCATGCACAGATCGCCGGAACCCAGCTCCTCCGGGTTACAGTCTACTCACCATGGGCAAGTAGATTGTATAATTTGTCGAGCCCTGCTCCTGAACACAGAGAAAATAAAGGGAAAAGAAAAAAAAATATAGGCCTTAGTATTGCATTGTGATGTCGCTGGTTAGTCTGCTGCGTTACATGGAGACTAATTCAAGTCAATGGGGCTTCCTACCTGTAGAGATCACATTGCAAGATTGAGGTGCCTTATTGCCCAAGGAAAATATCTTTGCATCCTTGCCAGTAGTAGTCTACTGTTAAATAGTGTAGAAATTTTGCTACAACCCCAATTGTGCAAGGAGAGTCATTCAGAAGGATTCCTGCACCTGTGCAGACTTATTTACTTCAATGGGGTTTTCTGCCTGTGCAGTTCTCCTTCTGGTTTCAGGGCCTCTGTAGGATTGGAGTTCAGAAAGGTAAAGTGATGTAGTGGGGTATAATGCTGTTGTGTACAAGGAAAAGTTTGATCCTAGTTAATATATTCATTTCTTAAAACAAGCAAGTAGATAGTTTCTTTCCTTACCTGGTTGCTTAGCTGTTCTGGATTTTCCTTTTTTCCTTTCTTCCACCTTTTCCCCTAAGGAAGTAGGCTATCTTGAACTATGGCTGCTGGTCTTTTGAGGCTCAGACATAAAACAGGAATCCTATCTCAGCTGCTGTAATTTTAAAGGAGTTGCCCTGGCAGTTAGATCATTTTAGTGATTGCACTCCAAAGACAAGCTGCAGGATCTAAAGAAATCATGTATCCAAAGAAGCAGTAGATGGATAATTAAAAGGGGTACAGGCAGCAAATTAGAAGATTCAAGAATAACATTCTAATTGGCTGGCTGGATAATATGGCTGCGTTAAGCCTATTGACAGCTGGCTAACAAACTTGTGCACAATGATACTAAATGATTAGTTATATGACCCTGTCTGAGCCAATGAGCCCTGAATGGTATAATAGATCCTAAAGAGTTGTTAACAGAAGTCAATATTAGTGATATACTGCTAAGTAACAACAGTTAATTGTACAATACTTTTTTTTTTTAACAGAGAGATGATTGAAATTGTGATTTATTGGGGGTGGGGTTTGAGCAATTTGGGCAGTTAATTAAAACAGAACGGATAGTTTGTGTTATCTTTTGTTTTCAGGGATTAAGCATTCCATAAAGCAGTTAAACTACTTTTTTTTTTTTTTTAAATACTGTACCTGGAAGAGTAAAGTAACTATTCCAAAATCAAGGCATTCTGATAGCGGGAGAAAGATGGTTTTATCTATAGATTTTGCATTCTAGAGAAATTTTAATGACTGTTATAATTTCAGTGACAAATATTAGACTGATCTGAATACTTCAAAAGGCCCAAACTGGTTGGAGATTGAAGCATAGGTATTAAATAGAATAATGTTTAAACATATAGATGGCTATTACATTTTATTGTACTTACATGTCATT